CCCCCCCCCCCCCCCCCCCGCCAGGGAGAAGACCCTGGGGACGAGGTTGCCAAAAGTGTATGACTTTTATCGATTCACTAATTTTCCTGTGTGCAATTCGATTAAAAAGTTCGGTAAAATCGTATCAAAGAAATCGCGTAAAACAGACCCAGACCTAGAACCCAGCTTCCCGACATACGACATTTTGGGATTTATGACGTGGCCACTCAAATGCGCGGATCATCGATTTTCCTTACTGCGCATAAAAGCCGCTTTCTACATCGTCTCAGCTTGAGATTTTGAAGTTGAGTTGACTGTACAGGTTTGTTGTGGCGTTTTTGCCAGTTTTTAATCTCCTTAGACCTGGGAAAACCGCTTTGTACAGGCATATGGAGCGCTACAGTTCACCGGGGTTCATTTTTTTGATTTTGAGTGCATGGATTTCTTGTTGTGTTGCGTTTTATCTACCGGGTTTGGCGCCTGTTTCGTACTGCGAACCGGGAAAGGCGTCAAATCCTGCCTGTTTGGTGAGTATTCCAGTTTTCTTCTGTATTTCCTTCATCTTGCTGTTTCACCTTGTACCCATAGCACTGTAAAGGGCTTAGTAAACGGATTTATCTCCGAACTTTGCCAAAATGTCCGAATGATCTATTACTCAATTAAGCGCCAAGCAAATTTCGTTTATTTAAGCCTGACGCCTACTTTTGAGTCCCGTTAGTCGATTACTGCAGGATTTAAATATAAAGAAAACTATTCTTGCCGTCGTAACTTAAGCTTGTATTCGGTGAATTCTCGATTTTTGCAAAACAAAAAAGTTCAGTCGCCTTCGGTAATGTAAAATCCAACTCAGGTTTATACTTAATGTGATAACTTAATGTGAGCCCCACAATAAAACATTCTGGTGTCCTTGAACTTCGCTTAATTCATCACAGTGGCTCTTGATGAAGCCTTGTTCTTGTAATTCATAACTCTCGAGCTTAAAACTTTGGAAAGCCAAAACAGCCCGTGCAGGTTTCTTATAAACTTACATGCAGAGTGGCTCGTTATGTATATGTTCCACGTGTAAAAGTTCTTCGTATACAATTACTTCTAGCCAATTGACATTCACATGTTCGTGTAAAGGGTGGTTAATTTGCTTATATGCAATCACTGTTTTTAGACGTTTGGACAGGGAACAAAAATTCAATATATATATATTTTTTTTGATTTCATCACCACATTTTCTGTTCAGATAGCTTTAATACAAGGTGTTTGCATCTGTTTGGCTCTAGAATTTCCTATGCAAAACTTTGATTTCCTTGACTACCAGCAAGACATTGAAAGAATTTAGTTTTCGGAATAATGTAGTACTATTTTGTTGCTCACATAATGGCACAACAACAAGACAACATGGACATAATGCCACAAAGTTTTTTCCTTGTGTCATTATATATTAGTTGATACTATTGTATTAGAACTGCAGTTTACAGTAGATGTTAAAAATGACATTGACATAACATTCATAATTGTAGACCTCGTCGCTTTTTTTGTTGAGGTAACACTTAGGCTTGAATGTTTCAAGACTCCTAAACTTCATCGCACAGTACCTGACCGTATTCATTCCATTAAGAAACTTGGCAGTTTTAGAACATATTTTAGTTTGTACAGCTTATGAAATGGAGAATAATTTTGAGGAAAATTGCATGCTTTATTTTGCAAAGATCAAAATATGTCCAGAAGCCTAGATAGTTTTATTTGACTCTAGCTAAAGTGTTGTTTTTTGGTAGTACATGTATGTAGACTGGGAGTATTGCTAATCCAGGGTCTGGATTGGATGTTAGTCCATTGCAAGTCAATCTCACAACATATTTTGCCTTGTTGCCTTGACAAATTCACTGGCTATCATTTATATGTCAGGTTGGAGAGAAGGAATGTTTGAGACCAAGACACTGGTCAATGCATTTTGTCATTGTAGATGTACTTGAACACTACTTAATATGTAAATGCTGCAATCTGAATTGCTGAGCTATCATGCACAAGTACTATCAGCCATTTGTGTACAGTGGCTGGAGATCTACTAAGTTGTGACGTTTTCTTGTTTTATGTAGTTTCTAAGGAAGACTTAGAGACATTACTCAAGATGATTAAATTCCTGAAAGACCGAAAATAGGACACTCACTGTTACTGGCTTTAAAGTGCTAAATCCTGAAAAAAAAAAAAACGATGAGCCTGCATTATATACGTATACAATGTACAGCAGCAAGTTTAAAAATATAATTTGGTTTGGGCAATTGTGTTAAAGCTTGAAGTTTAATTCTACTTTATAATTACATGTATGTAGTGAAATTTATAATTGCTACATGTAGTCCTTATTTGTAGGAAACAGAGTAAGAATTCTACTAAAAAAATTAGATTATTCACTCCTACTTTGTGCTATCACCTAACAGAAATCTTGTGCTCATAATCGTTGTGACAATAGAAGCTTCTGGTGACGTATAGTAATTTAATGACTATTATATTGAAATCTTTTAATTTTATCGAAGAAATTGTTTCCGTTTACATACATTTTGTTCTTGCTGTCACACACTGGTAATACTGTTCACTGACCATGCATATGCCACAGGAACTATTCTATGAATGAGATATTCAAGTTATGTTAGAATCTCAACAGCTGATAAAACTGCAAGTGTTAGGAGTGTTTACACAAGCACAGTGTTAAATTAACCCAGTCTCCTGGCCTTTAAGAAAAGATCGCATTTTGCATATTTGTAGTTTATAAATGTATCCTTAGAAACACACTGGTATTTTATGATTACAGCTATTGAGCTTACATTTGGATTGTGATGCAAATTGTGATTGTGTTTTTACACCGAAAACAGTCATTAAGTACTATATACTTCCAATAGCCATATGCAGTGGACATGTACTCTGTTGCAATTTTCAGTTAAAATTGATTTGCCTTGAAAAATTTTTAATAATTGTTAATTAAATACATACTGTACAGTGGTGTATCTTAGAATGTGACTCTTCTAACCAAGACCATGCGACAATATTCTGTGCAAATTTCATGAATGAAAACCTTGGATATTAATAAAAGATTTCCACCAAATTATCAATCTAAGCAATCTTAACATTATTTAACAAATAAAAAAGCCTAAGCCATGTATTACACTGTGTAAAAACACAACGGACATTTGAGAACACAATCGAAATATTTCAGGTGAGTGTTTTCTACATTTCTGGTGTGTTCACAAATGTCCAGAGTGTTTTATCACAGTGTAATACACGGCTTAGGCTTCTTCATTTGCTCTACATGTATGATATAGAGGTAATGTGGCGAAAAACAGTAAAACACCTTTTTCCTATGTTTTGCACTCTGATAAAATATGGGTTTTTGACCAATCAGAGTGCGTGCAGGGTCCTATCTATATTATAAAGAACAATAAATTTGTGACCATACACAACTGTACATGCATTTGTTGTTTAAATGCTTAAATACTATTGGTCAATTTGCAAAGAATTTGTTTGGCTGGTGTTGGTTGCTCAGAGTAGTCATACCGTAATATTATCATCCAATAATAGCCAAATTTATACTAGGGATGAATTATCCATCTGAGATGAATTAGCCATCTGAGATGGGTAATTTGATTGGGTAATTCGTCTTGAAGATGTGCTGGCAGATGAATCAGCCAAAGACTAATTTGGCGACATAATAAAGACTGGATTTTTATTTACATGGAGATGATTTCTCCATCTCAGATGGATAAATCATCTCCTAAATATATTTATATGGCAGTGGATAATCCATCTCTAGTATAGATTTGGCCAGTAAAATAATAAGAATAAGAAATTAAGAAGAAACTTTTTATCTCGCTTTTTCTCAATGGTTCAATGGTGCTTGAAAAGTCACCATCACTGTGTCTGTATCTATTGTTTGGGATAAATACATGAAATACTAATATTGTGATGATAATGGTCTTTTTTACAGTCCAAAATTGACTTGTTTGTCAACCGACTAGACTCTGTGGAATCAGTGATCCCTTACGAATATGCAAGGTTTGTTTTTATTACAATTCTTTCTCAGCATTAAGAAATGTTTATAGTTTGAACTGTAGCTTTGTTGTTGAACGTAAGATTGATTTCATCCAATGTTAAGGTTACTCCAAACCTTCGCGGGGCTACTTTTTCCAAATTTTCTTTTTTCCAGCCAAATTAAAGTTCATTATTCAAGGTAACATTTTCCAAAAAATGAAAATAAAATATTAAAACGTGCACGAGTTATTGGGAAAAAGAGGTTTTTTTAATAAAAGTTAATAAGCCATCAAGGTGTCATAAACCCCAAAAGGCATGGACTCCTCAGCGACCTTTTCATGACAAAGCTTAATCCAGAGATCCATATCAAATACTTTCAATTTCAGATTTCATGTCTGTCAAGAGTGCCTTTGTGTAATCACGCTTCAGCAATTGCTCTTCAGTTTCTTTTCTTTTTGTTGCACATCGCTTTTCTCCGTTTCGCCCTTTATTGTTGACCACCAGCCTAAAACGTATGCGCCTAAAACATGACTGTAACACAATGCTTTACTGCGAAGCCCAACTTTCCTTACTGTGAGCACTAGGGGTTCTGTTATTTCATTGGCCGGCAACATTTTGAGTTGACATATCCCTCTGACAAGGCATGACATGTTTATAAATCTTTAGAAGGCAAAACCTTGCACTCGTTTTTTGAGAGAATCCCTCCTCTTTAAATGAATTAAAAGGGTATGTAGAATCGACTGTTTTCCTTGAAATTTGGCCAGAACATTCACTGATAGATATGGAACAAAAGTGTGGCGGCAAATTCTTTTATTTCAAGTACTTTTCTCGTGGCGGTCTCTAATGTAACACATTGCGCGAATTTTTCGTTAGTGGAACTTGACAGATCTATAAAAAGATAACCAATAGAAATGAAAGAAAATGCTGACACTTTTTGAGAGATTGATGCCTTGTGATTAACACTGCACAGTTATTTTGCATCAAGAATTGCATTTGATATGTAAAAAATTTCAGTCAGTCGTTTTGGCATTGATGGTTTCTGACGCCTTAGGAAAGCAGTAAGCAAAAAAGAATATAATTTTATCGAATGCTACATTTTATAACCTTTCTGTTGATATATAGTTTGTGGGTGTTTCCTCCAAAACAGTGCGTGTACGAATTCTTTTCTAGAGGACACCCGCGAAGGTTTGAAGTATCTTAACTTAATCCAAGTCCAAAAGAATGCATTAAGTGTCCACTTTATACACTGTATCAATTTTAGAATAATTATTCTAGGTCATTTTTGTCAAGTCTCAATAATACCAGCATTTTTGTTGAACATTTTCTTCCAGCTTTGATTTCTGTATCCCTCCTGCAAGTAAGTCATCACCTACGGAAAATCTTGGCCAGGTAGAGTAACATTTCATAACATTTACATGTATGAATGCTAAAGATCATATTTGAAAAATCATGTCATTAGTTATTCAATACACAAAAAATATCCATAGATATTTCTAAATAAATACATGTATCTCTAGAAATGCTACAAAATTAATAGTGAGGTCATAATTCGGTGGATAGGCTGCAAATAGTTGTAATTTGCACTTGTGTTACACTTAACTGCACTTACATTACAGGGAAGCTGCACCCTTTTTTGGCCAGAGGACAGTAATTTTTTTCATATGTAATGTTTTTATCATTATTTTCAGGATTTCTAAATTGCCTCTGTTATATAGCATTGAGTTTACATTTCTGTTTTAGGTTGTGTTTGGGGAAAGAATCCGACCATCCATGTACAATGTAAGTACATGTACTACAGTGTAATGGTAACCAGGTGGTCATAGTAAAAATTCGCACTTGGCTAGAATGTTTTGTATTGCTACTCAATTCTTTGGATAGTAAAAAAGCTACATTATTTACTCCTCCAACCATAGCTTTTAGAGAGAAATGGTTATGAAGCCTGGCAAACATCAAAGGGGCAAACAAAGATACCAAGATTTATAGGTCTGGACACGACCATGCACGCTTTGCGCTCATACACTATGCATAAATTACACAACCAGAACGTTTCTATTGGTTAGTTCCTCAGTTCGAAGTAAACAACTATTGTGTTTTGTGCGCGGTCAAGGCCAAAAAAGAGAACAAAAAAATACAGTAAAGAACTTTGTCGGGTTTCATAACCATTCCCCTCTATTAACTATTCTCCAACATTTGACTTGGTACATTTAAGTTGCAAAAAGTAAAGCTGAACACAGTTGGAATGAGATGAGGTACCGAAGATTTCTCAAACTTATTTATTAATTTAAACTGTGGAATAACAACAGTTAGGGGGTTCAGTAATTCCATTGATTATAATATGGTTAGCTCTGTGAGAGGGCAAGATGAACCAAATCCTGCGCTGTTATTGGCTGCACCATCGTGCCCACTCCTTGTACAAAATCTTTTATTGACCAAGCTTGTTCCGTTACGATGGCTGGATTTTGGCCTCATTCTTTTTTTGTCCTTTCATGGACCTGGACTCTGTGTCAGTCCGTAAACACACAGAAAAAGGAACTTTGCCAATATCTAGCCAACTTGACCTCATGCTTATCTTGTGAGTGGTGGTGAGGCGTGCAAAAAGAAACTAAAACTAATTAACACGAGCATTAAATATATGCCAAAACCTGCTTAGTGGAAAATGTGACTACAGTAGTTAAAAATTTTATTAGCTAAAATAATCTGACTTGTCACTAAGTAGCAGGCCATTAATGGTGTTAGAATGGTAGTTTCCAGCCCTGCTTTTTTTTGCTGGATTACTCACAAGGATTGCTAGCCATGACATTTTTGTTTGTTTGTTTATTTTAAACAGATAACCTTCAAGAAAGATGAAATATGCAAAACTCTCTGTTCAAAATCTTACAATCCTGGTACACCAGAAGATATGAAAAAGCTGGAATTTTTGAAAAACGGAATTGCTCTTAATTATCAGAACCACTGGTAAGGGCAGTGAGTAAAATGACTCACTAACAGTATTTAAAACACAGTTTACATGATTGTGCATATACAGTACATTTGTATTTTCACTAAAAACATATGAATCATGTGTATTAAAGGCATCTGTGGTCAAGTGTCAATCGTTACCCTCAATTGATACCTTCGATCGACATCCTGATCAATACTCGGTCAGCACTTGATCGACACTTGATCAACAGTCGGCCGATAGTTTGTTGAGTGTGAACCGACTCATATGCACTGATTGAAAATGCAGATGACTTTTGAATGACTGTTGACCGAGATGTTGATGGAGTGTAAGTGGAGTGTCAACCAAGGTGTTGATGGAGTGTTGATCAAGTATTGGTCGAGTGTTGATCAAGGGTATTGATTGACACTTCACCATGGATGCCTTGAGTACACATGATCCAAACATATTACCTTTTGCCATCTGTACACGTGTATGTACATGTATGTGGGGCTGATCTCAAAATAACTTCTTACATGTCAACTTAACCTACAGTATCTCTTTTGTGACCAGGTGTTACATAAGGCCTCAACAGCTAATATGTACCAAAAAGCGAGCTATCAACATGATCTTTATTCTTGCCTTGTTATTTTTCACAGGATAATTGACAATATGCCTGTGACGTGGTGTTATGAAGTCGCAGATGAACCAAGCAGATACTGCTCCACTGGATTTCCTATTGGATGCCATGTGTCTGAAGATGGACAAGCTCGCGATGCCTGCGTGACAAGTGTAAGATTTCACATTCTGTCTGGGCAAACTTTACATGTAGTTTACTCTGTGCCATGTAGGGTGGGAAATTACAATTGAGGTTATTTTTTATCTAGCCTAGTGGAGCAAAATAAGTGCACTTCACACACCCCTGGGGTTGAGGGCTGGGATAAAGGTCATGAATGCAGCTTGAAAGTTAGGCATCAGGGTTCAGTTGTTCGAAAGTGGGTTAATGCTAACCCAGGATTGAAAGTTTGCCAAATTTTCAATTTTTCTTGTATAAAAATTTTTTTACTTCTTATGGTTTGTGTAGTTTGATTTCACCCCAGTTCAAAGCTAAAGAACAAAAAAGATATATAGATATGCAGCAAACCTCCCTAAAAGAATACAAAACTGATATCAAAATTCTTTAGGTTAGCTTGATCTGGCTTTTTGAACAATGCAGCCTTGCTCTTGTTAATGTTTGCCATTGTGCAACCTTCCCACCCATCCAATGACTCGCCTACCCCCCATTTATACTGAGAATTTTGGCATTTATGTCTGTTCCTGTACAGATATCAGATTGTTAGTGATACAGCATATTTTTTATTTTTAACTTCTATTCTACATACATGTCTACTAGGTTTTCTTTCTTGAGAGGTTTTAATTGTTAGTATTATTGAGAGAAAGAAGCTCAGTCTTGCTCTGGTCAGTTTTACACGGTGCAGTTACCTTGTTGTGGCTCCCAGTGTTGCAAGAGATCAAATGCAGTATATGTGGTCATGCTATCATGAAGGTGCTGGAATAGCTCTTCAAAACAATCATTTTACGAACATTCATTGTTAATGTTTGATCATCTGCAGACCTTGTTTAATGAACGTGGGATGCACTACGTGTTCAACCACATTGACATTGAGATCAAGTACCATGATGGCTCAGGTGAAGACTGGGATGGATCCCGTCTGATGTCTGCAAAAGTTACACCAAGAAGGTATGAGAACATGTTGTTGTTCATGATTTTAAGTAATGTAGGCTCTAGTCTCAAGGTGGCAGTTTTACTTTTGTCTACAGTTTCCTGTGAATTTGATACATGCAAACATGAGAGATGACCCCCTTAATTTTTTTGGTTGAGGACAGCCTGCGGGTTCATATAATTATTTATACTTGTACAAATTAATGTAACTAGGGAAACCACTAAGGATTCGCCTGACATGAGCTTACACTTAGTTACAGGTACTTCCCTATGGTACTATTTTAGTCTCAAATAAATTCTGCTCTCATTTGTAATGACAAGGGATTTTTTTCTATTAGCCTTACCAGTGTATTACTATTCTCTGACTTATTTGATTTTCACCACAAGTTGCAGGTGGTTTTCTGAGAATTTGTTTTATTTGGTTCTCGCTGTGTAAATTTATATAGAGTCACTTCAGCATGGCTGTCATTAGGTATTGAGTCACCTGTAGCCACTCTTAGCAAACTTGCTCCTTTGTGGGTGAATTCTGTCAACAGCAGGCAAGTTTACCCATAGTATCAAGGAAAAATCAAGCATACTCAGCTGTGACAGGTGTTTGGGTTACTGTCCGTAAAGCCCTGTACTCTACATGTACATCAGAATTAAAGGAAAACTTGAGATGATTTTTTCTTCCTTTTCTGTTACAGCATTAAACACACAAAGGAAGGGGACTGCGCTACTGATTCACCAGCCATGGGGATTCCACTTGATTTCAAAGGCACCAGTGAATTCAAAATCCTCTACTCATACACTGTCAGATTTATGGTAAGTTAGTCACAACAATTGAATACCAAAACTGTATTTTATGGGCTGTNTCAGATGGATAAATCATCTCCTAAATATATTTATATGGCAGTGGATAATCCATCTCTAGTATAGATTTGGCCAGTAAAATAATAAGAATAAGAAATTAAGAAGAAACTTTTTATCTCGCTTTTTCTCAATGGTTCAATGGTGCTTGAAAAGTCACCATCACTGTGTCTGTATCTATTGTTTGGGATAAATACATGAAATACTAATATTGTGATGATAATGGTCTTTTTTACAGTCCAAAATTGACTTGTTTGTCAACCGACTAGACTCTGTGGAATCAGTGATCCCTTACGAATATGCAAGGTTTGTTTTTATTACAATTCTTTCTCAGCATTAAGAAATGTTTATAGTTTGAACTGTAGCTTTGTTGTTGAACGTAAGATTGATTTCATCCAATGTTAAGGTTACTCCAAACCTTCGCGGGGCTACTTTTTCCAAATTTTCTTTTTTCCAGCCAAATTAAAGTTCATTATTCAAGGTAACATTTTCCAAAAAATGAAAATAAAATATTAAAACGTGCACGAGTTATTGGGAAAAAGAGGTTTTTTTAATAAAAGTTAATAAGCCATCAAGGTGTCATAAACCCCAAAAGGCATGGACTCCTCAGCGACCTTTTCATGACAAAGCTTAATCCAGAGATCCATATCAAATACTTTCAATTTCAGATTTCATGTCTGTCAAGAGTGCCTTTGTGTAATCACGCTTCAGCAATTGCTCTTCAGTTTCTTTTCTTTTTGTTGCACATCGCTTTTCTCCGTTTCGCCCTTTATTGTTGACCACCAGCCTAAAACGTATGCGCCTAAAACATGACTGTAACACAATGCTTTACTGCGAAGCCCAACTTTCCTTACTGTGAGCACTAGGGGTTCTGTTATTTCATTGGCCGGCAACATTTTGAGTTGACATATCCCTCTGACAAGGCATGACATGTTTATAAATCTTTAGAAGGCAAAACCTTGCACTCGTTTTTTGAGAGAATCCCTCCTCTTTAAATGAATTAAAAGGGTATGTAGAATCGACTGTTTTCCTTGAAATTTGGCCAGAACATTCACTGATAGATATGGAACAAAAGTGTGGCGGCAAATTCTTTTATTTCAAGTACTTTTCTCGTGGCGGTCTCTAATGTAACACATTGCGCGAATTTTTCGTTAGTGGAACTTGACAGATCTATAAAAAGATAACCAATAGAAATGAAAGAAAATGCTGACACTTTTTGAGAGATTGATGCCTTGTGATTAACACTGCACAGTTATTTTGCATCAAGAATTGCATTTGATATGTAAAAAATTTCAGTCAGTCGTTTTGGCATTGATGGTTTCTGACGCCTTAGGAAAGCAGTAAGCAAAAAAGAATATAATTTTATCGAATGCTACATTTTATAACCTTTCTGTTGATATATAGTTTGTGGGTGTTTCCTCCAAAACAGTGCGTGTACGAATTCTTTTCTAGAGGACACCCGCGAAGGTTTGAAGTATCTTAACTTAATCCAAGTCCAAAAGAATGCATTAAGTGTCCACTTTATACACTGTATCAATTTTAGAATAATTATTCTAGGTCATTTTTGTCAAGTCTCAATAATACCAGCATTTTTGTTGAACATTTTCTTCCAGCTTTGATTTCTGTATCCCTCCTGCAAGTAAGTCATCACCTACGGAAAATCTTGGCCAGGTAGAGTAACATTTCATAACATTTACATGTATGAATGCTAAAGATCATATTTGAAAAATCATGTCATTAGTTATTCAATACACAAAAAATATCCATAGATATTTCTAAATAAATACATGTATCTCTAGAAATGCTACAAAATTAATAGTGAGGTCATAATTCGGTGGATAGGCTGCAAATAGTTGTAATTTGCACTTGTGTTACACTTAACTGCACTTACATTACAGGGAAGCTGCACCCTTTTTTGGCCAGAGGACAGTAATTTTTTTCATATGTAATGTTTTTATCATTATTTTCAGGATTTCTAAATTGCCTCTGTTATATAGCATTGAGTTTACATTTCTGTTTTAGGTTGTGTTTGGGGAAAGAATCCGACCATCCATGTACAATGTAAGTACATGTACTACAGTGTAATGGTAACCAGGTGGTCATAGTAAAAATTCGCACTTGGCTAGAATGTTTTGTATTGCTACTCAATTCTTTGGATAGTAAAAAAGCTACATTATTTACTCCTCCAACCATAGCTTTTAGAGAGAAATGGTTATGAAGCCTGGCAAACATCAAAGGGGCAAACAAAGATACCAAGATTTATAGGTCTGGACACGACCATGCACGCTTTGCGCTCATACACTATGCATAAATTACACAACCAGAACGTTTCTATTGGTTAGTTCCTCAGTTCGAAGTAAACAACTATTGTGTTTTGTGCGCGGTCAAGGCCAAAAAAGAGAACAAAAAAATACAGTAAAGAACTTTGTCGGGTTTCATAACCATTCCCCTCTATTAACTATTCTCCAACATTTGACTTGGTACATTTAAGTTGCAAAAAGTAAAGCTGAACACAGTTGGAATGAGATGAGGTACCGAAGATTTCTCAAACTTATTTATTAATTTAAACTGTGGAATAACAACAGTTAGGGGGTTCAGTAATTCCATTGATTATAATATGGTTAGCTCTGTGAGAGGGCAAGATGAACCAAATCCTGCGCTGTTATTGGCTGCACCATCGTGCCCACTCCTTGTACAAAATCTTTTATTGACCAAGCTTGTTCCGTTACGATGGCTGGATTTTGGCCTCATTCTTTTTTTGTCCTTTCATGGACCTGGACTCTGTGTCAGTCCGTAAACACACAGAAAAAGGAACTTTGCCAATATCTAGCCAACTTGACCTCATGCTTATCTTGTGAGTGGTGGTGAGGCGTGCAAAAAGAAACTAAAACTAATTAACACGAGCATTAAATATATGCCAAAACCTGCTTAGTGGAAAATGTGACTACAGTAGTTAAAAATTTTATTAGCTAAAATAATCTGACTTGTCACTAAGTAGCAGGCCATTAATGGTGTTAGAATGGTAGTTTCCAGCCCTGCTTTTTTTTGCTGGATTACTCACAAGGATTGCTAGCCATGACATTTTTGTTTGTTTGTTTATTTTAAACAGATAACCTTCAAGAAAGATGAAATATGCAAAACTCTCTGTTCAAAATCTTACAATCCTGGTACACCAGAAGATATGAAAAAGCTGGAATTTTTGAAAAACGGAATTGCTCTTAATTATCAGAACCACTGGTAAGGGCAGTGAGTAAAATGACTCACTAACAGTATTTAAAACACAGTTTACATGATTGTGCATATACAGTACATTTGTATTTTCACTAAAAACATATGAATCATGTGTATTAAAGGCATCTGTGGTCAAGTGTCAATCGTTACCCTCAATTGATACCTTCGATCGACATCCTGATCAATACTCGGTCAGCACTTGATCGACACTTGATCAACAGTCGGCCGATAGTTTGTTGAGTGTGAACCGACTCATATGCACTGATTGAAAATGCAGATGACTTTTGAATGACTGTTGACCGAGATGTTGATGGAGTGTAAGTGGAGTGTCAACCAAGGTGTTGATGGAGTGTTGATCAAGTATTGGTCGAGTGTTGATCAAGGGTATTGATTGACACTTCACCATGGATGCCTTGAGTACACATGATCCAAACATATTACCTTTTGCCATCTGTACACGTGTATGTACATGTATGTGGGGCTGATCTCAAAATAACTTCTTACATGTCAACTTAACCTACAGTATCTCTTTTGTGACCAGGTGTTACATAAGGCCTCAACAGCTAATATGTACCAAAAAGCGAGCTATCAACATGATCTTTATTCTTGCCTTGTTATTTTTCACAGGATAATTGACAATATGCCTGTGACGTGGTGTTATGAAGTCGCAGATGAACCAAGCAGATACTGCTCCACTGGATTTCCTATTGGATGCCATGTGTCTGAAGATGGACAAGCTCGCGATGCCTGCGTGACAAGTGTAAGATTTCACATTCTGTCTGGGCAAACTTTACATGTAGTTTACTCTGTGCCATGTAGGGTGGGAAATTACAATTGAGGTTATTTTTTATCTAGCCTAGTGGAGCAAAATAAGTGCACTTCACACACCCCTGGGGTTGAGGGCTGGGATAAAGGTCATGAATGCAGCTTGAAAGTTAGGCATCAGGGTTCAGTTGTTCGAAAGTGGGTTAATGCTAACCCAGGATTGAAAGTTTGCCAAATTTTCAATTTTTCTTGTATAAAAATTTTTTTACTTCTTATGGTTTGTGTAGTTTGATTTCACCCCAGTTCAAAGCTAAAGAACAAAAAAGATATATAGATATGCAGCAAACCTCCCTAAAAGAATACAAAACTGATATCAAAATTCTTTAGGTTAGCTTGATCTGGCTTTTTGAACAATGCAGCCTTGCTCTTGTTAATGTTTGCCATTGTGCAACCTTCCCACCCATCCAATGACTCGCCTACCCCCCATTTATACTGAGAATTTTGGCATTTATGTCTGTTCCTGTACAGATATCAGATTGTTAGTGATACAGCATATTTTTTATTTTTAACTTCTATTCTACATACATGTCTACTAGGTTTTCTTTCTTGAGAGGTTTTAATTGTTAGTATTATTGAGAGAAAGAAGCTCAGTCTTGCTCTGGTCAGTTTTACACGGTGCAGTTACCTTGTTGTGGCTCCCAGTGTTGCAAGAGATCAAATGCAGTATATGTGGTCATGCTATCATGAAGGTGCTGGAATAGCTCTTCAAAACAATCATTTTACGAACATTCATTGTTAATGTTTGATCATCTGCAGACCTTGTTTAATGAACGTGGGATGCACTACGTGTTCAACCACATTGACATTGAGATCAAGTACCATGATGGCTCAGGTGAAGACTGGGATGGATCCCGTCTGATGTCTGCAAAAGTTACACCAAGAAGGTATGAGAACATGTTGTTGTTCATGATTTTAAGTAATGTAGGCTCTAGTCTCAAGGTGGCAGTTTTACTTTTGTCTACAGTTTCCTGTGAATTTGATACATGCAAACATGAGAGATGACCCCCTTAATTTTTTTGGTTGAGGACAGCCTGCGGGTTCATATAATTATTTATACTTGTACAAATTAATGTAACTAGGGAAACCACTAAGGATTCGCCTGACATGAGCTTACACTTAGTTACAGGTACTTCCCTATGGTACTATTTTAGTCTCAAATAAATTCTGCTCTCATTTGTAATGACAAGGGATTTTTTTCTATTAGCCTTACCAGTGTATTACTATTCTCTGACTTATTTGATTTTCACCACAAGTTGCAGGTGGTTTTCTGAGAATTTGTTTTATTTGGTTCTCGCTGTGTAAATTTATATAGAGTCACTTCAGCATGGCTGTCATTAGGTATTGAGTCACCTGTAGCCACTCTTAGCAAACTTGCTCCTTTGTGGGTGAATTCTGTCAACAGCAGGCAAGTTTACCCATAGTATCAAGGAAAAATCAAGCATACTCAGCTGTGACAGGTGTTTGGGTTACTGTCCGTAAAGCCCTGTACTCTACATGTACATCAGAATTAAAGGAAAACTTGAGATGATTTTTTCTTCCTTTTCTGTTACAGCATTAAACACACAAAGGAAGGGGACTGCGCTACTGATTCACCAGCCATGGGGATTCCACTTGATTTCAAAGGCACCAGTGAATTCAAAATCCTCTACTCATACACTGTCAGATTTATGGTAAGTTAGTCACAACAATTGAATACCAAAACTGTATTTTATGGGCTGTCACAGCCTCTTATGGCCAGTTTTTACCACTGGTTTATATTATTCAAACCAGTATCATTTTGTGAAAGGGGAAAGGGGGAGGGGTCCAGCAGCCAATAATGTTTTGATCAGCAAATGCATTTTTGTATCCATGAGGAAATTTACACTTGCGTGGATAAGTGGAAATGAAGGTAGACCACAAGTATAAGGTCAGGTGTTTGAATCTAGGTGGGTACAAAATTGAAAAAAACATGTTGTAGAATGGGAGTTATATGGTAACTGTTGGAGGCAAAAGTATCGCGGTGGGGGTGGAGTAGGGTAAGGGACTGAGGGGGAGTGGTGTGCATATTATTTATTTGAGAACCCCCCAAAAGTGAAAAGAAAAACTGGTTTAAAAACATTTAAAGCAGAGGTGAAAATTGAACCTCACAATTTGCATGTAGACATATGCATTTATTAATGTACATGTACAGCTGTAGGTGCCTTCATACTAAACCTCATGAATAGACTTGTGGTGGAATATTTTAGACTGCCTCATTTGTAACCACTTTCAAGGTCTATTTTAGATCTCTTGAATAATCACTTCCTTGTTCTGCTGAATCACTTTGTGTATTTGAGCAAAGCTAACATTTATTGGGAGGCATTTGGTGGGAGGTGCAGTGGCCTCATGGTTAGTGTGCTCGTCCCTGGAGTGAGCAGTCCAGGTTCAAGCCCTGGCCAGGAACACGGTGTTGTGTTCTTGGGCAAGACGCTTAACTCTCACAGTGCCTCTCTCCACCCAGGAGTATAAATGGGTACTGGCGAATTGTTGGGGAAACCTAACAAATTGGGGGGGAGTAACCTGTGATGGATTAGCATCCCGTCCAGGGGGAGTAGAAATACTCCTAGCGGCTTCATGCTACAGCAACTGGGATGAGCTCCAGCAGCTATGAGCCATTGGCTGCAAGGCTTCACCTTTTTTTTCCTTTAACGTTTACTTATTTTTGATCAGCGAGAAGAAGATGCAAATCACAAGTGGGCATCACGCTGGGACTACATCCTTGACTCAATGCCACATACCAAAATCCAGTGGTTTAGGTGAGAACTATCTCTCATGGCTAATTTCTATACATGTAATTGTAATTATAGAATCTCCTGAAGCTCAAAAATGGGTCGGCTAGCAGCTCTCATAAGGTCTCACATGAATGGCTTGATACCCTTTGAGAGGACAACAGAACAAACAACAGAAACAATGCCTCTAGCGCCAAAACAATAACAGCTCATAACAAGCAAAAGAAGTACGAGCTTACAAGAGATGCTTCAAGGCTCAAAAACAAAAAACTTGAATTCTAGCTTGCTCTTCGGATCAGCAGCTATAAAAATTTGGCTCGCGCTGGGCAAGTCTTAGTTAAATATGTTTTTATTTAGCTGGCAGAGGACTTGCTTGGGCCCTTGCCTGGCAAGAAAATCTACTTGTCCGGGACGACTGGATGGCACTTTTTTTTTGTGCTTCACTTTTGTCAAAAACCCTGCATTTACTTCAGAGAAAATTTTAACCTTGGTTGGCAAAAGTAAGGTTACAAAGATTAGTTTTAATAAATGTTTAAGAATTAATTGGTACTTAAAACTGTCTAATTGATCCAACACATGCACTTTAAAATTTTAAAATGCCTTCAATCCAAACTTTGTTCATGTGTACTGTAAAACCCAGCCATATGCCAATTTCTGTTGACACAGTCACCTCATTATAATGGTCTCTTTAGTCTCCCTTTATAAAAAGTTCAGTTAGTCATTTCCTTAAGTGTTAAGGAACCCCATAAATGTGACAACCAATACCATTAGTATGGCCTTGAAAGGATGGCCATGTCTACATGCACATGTCTGTCATAATTACAAGACTTTCAAGTTAACATGAAAAGTTAGCTATTGTCCTGCTGTAGCACCAAACTATCATTACTTGCTTATAGATCTTTTTCACTGTTTTAGCAATTAAAAAAATAAATCAAAAACCATCCAGTGGAAAAAGACAAGAAATCGTGATGTTATAGAAGATAAATAAGGAAGACACTTCTCTAAGTTTTAAGTCTGTGCATTTCCCCAAACTTCAGATATTGGTCAAAATGTTTTGCAGAGATTTACAGAGCCCAGTATGGAGCCGCCATGTTGGTGTACCTCCATGTTGGTACACTAATATGGTGGCCGGAAAATAGTTTAAACATCTGGAACTTACTGACCAAACAAGCATTTATGTATAAACACTTTTCCAATGCTCTAACTTCTAAAGAGGCTCAAAATCATGAGACACATGTAAGTATACATTATTTTTTCAACAAACTCAATCGTAGCTTTGTGTCAGGCACCGCAATAACTCTGAAATTCAAATTGCTCTGGTTTCCAAATGAAGCACGCTATTGAGCTGTAAAGTTGTAAACAAGTATAAATTTACAGCCTCTTATGCCTTATGAAGATAAAAACTTCTGGTGGCTCTTTAGTTTTGGATTTTAGAAAGTGATGACGTCATGTGTAAACGATCTATTGCAAATAATATATGGTAATGTTACAAATAAATGATATTTTAATCTGGAGACTGAAGGCTTGCAATTACGCGTGTAAGTAACTGCAAGGTGTCACACAACTGTAAGAATTTTTTGTAATAATTATGTATTTAAGATAAGATGTTAGACACAATTTTGGCTCTTTTTGTCGTTAGCATCATGAATTCCCTGGTCATTGTGCTGTTCTTGTCTGGAATGGTAGCCATGATTATGCTACGAACTCTACACAAAGACATTGCCCGTTACAATCAGATGGATTCAGCGGTATGTCAAACTTTTGATAGGATGTGTTGTTATTAACTGGGAAAGAAAAGGATTAGTCTGAGCCTGAAATATTGCTGAGAAGATAAATTCAGGTTTCTTATATTGATTTAGATGTAGTCAGAAATATTTTAGTGTGAGATTTGTTTTTTATTTACACGTAATATAACAGGAGGACGCTCAAGAAGAGTTTGGCTGGAAGTTGGTCCACGGAGATGTTTTCCGTCCACCCAAGAAGGGTATGTTACTATCTGTCATGCTGGGATGCGGAACACAGATATTCATCATGGTGTTCTTTACTCTAGGTGAGTTGTCAGTCTTTGCAGAGGAGCTTTAATTTGATTGACCATGACCTAAATCACTCTTCAGTCATGCTCTTTTAATTATTCCTGTACTAAGTCTGTTGGTGCCAACATTGTGTGATGTGTATTATAGATCCTCTGATTTTGGTTTTTTACTTTTTTTCTGTAGTATTTGCTTGTCTGGGATTTCTGTCTCCTGCTAACCGTGGAGCTCTAATGACCTGTGCTCTGGTGAGTTTGCATAATATAGTGCTGTACTGATTACCATCTAACATTACAATGTAGATTGCGAAGTTGCTTAGTTGAAATAAGAACTGTATACAGTACGTGACTTTTATTCTACCTGTATTTTCATTAGGTGCTGTTTGTTTGCCTTGGGTCTCCTGCTGGTTACGTTTCTGCCAGAATTTACAAAAGTAAGTGGCACTGCAACTTAAGCAGTTACTAAGTAAATGGCTTGTTTTTATTTCATTTTCCTATTTTTCTTTAACTTTTCAGTGTAAGGACAATTCTGGAGGGATATTTCTTTTCAGGAAAAGCCATTTCATATAAAATAAGAATCACAGCAGAACATGTGTAAAGTCACTATTATAACCTTTTACTCAAGGGAACCAAGCTTCTTTGTCTTGCCTACACTCTTCCTGTTTTACAGCAGGAAGATAAGTCAGTATGGCTGTTCATACATTGTAGTTCTTTTAATACTGTAGACCATGCAATAAAATTACAGCACTTTAAGCTGTAAGTCAATTTTTATGCACATGCGCTGATGGGTATTTTTAACTTCTAAATTGAAAGCAGTATCTAGGTACACCTGCAGCTGTGATTTTTTCCACATAGTATCAGCTTGTTTAAACTGAGCAGGCTGAGAGTGCAATAGGTACATGTAAAGGTCGGTGCACACGAGGGGACCAGTCCCTGCAACTAGTCTCCTGAAGAGTTTACATGAAGGGACTGGTCACAGGGGCTTGTCCCATGAACAGTTCACATGGAGCGTTTTGAGGAACAAGTCCCAGGGACTTGTCCCAAAAACTCAAACTGGTTTGAATTCATGGGACTAGTTGCAGGGACCAAAGTTTGGTCCCTGCGACTAGATTTTGAGGCAAAAATGGCCAGTTCACACATAAGACTTGTCCCCGTGACTTGTTGCAGGGACTAGTGCCCTCGTGTGTGCCAACCTTAACAGTCTGAGACCACCTGAGCAGTACAAAAAAAGTCATGGTTTGACAGTGCTCATTAGCATATGTATCAGAAACAGCTTATGGAAATTCATTCTACTACTGTAGTACCACTATGACAGTCTAAGGATAACTGGTTTTTTGTAGCTTGCTTGGTAAGTTGTTTGTTTGCTGTTGTTGTAGGGTAAATACCCCTGTAGCCACAGTCTATTGTTCCATGCACTGATTTTCTTTCCTTTCTTCTTCAGTGGTTGGTGGTGAATTATGGAAGACTAATGTTTTGCTGTCAGCATTCTTTTTCCCTGGGTGAGTAAAAAAATACAGTAGAACCCAAACTCTGAATGGATATGAAATACAGTTTGAGTTAGCAGGGGTTTGAGTTATTGGGGTCGATTGAATATCCAACTTACCATGTCAATAATATAAATATATTTTTGTTTTACTGATTTTTCATTACTTCAGTATACAGTACAGAGCAAATAAAACTTATGTGACAGCTTAAGGCACCACATCCGGTATGACTCTTAAGATCGGGAAATGACTGTCAAACATGTGAGCAGTCAATTGTACTAATTAAAATCAAATTGCTGTAGTGTTAGTTTTGAGTGTTTTTACTGATTACATGGCAAGAAAAGCTAATGGGAAGGGCATCCGTGGTGAATACATGAACCAGAATTTGAGTTATCAGGGTAAATTTTGATCAAGGGAAATAAAATTTAGTTCGAGTTAGCAGGGAATTCGAGTTATCCAAGTTCAAGTTAACCAAGTTAAAATGACTGAAAAGTGGGGTCAAATCCAAAAGAAACAGGACTTAGTTGGAGTTAACGGGGGAGTTCGAGTTATCCGAGTTTGAGTTACCGGGGTTTTACTGAAATTATCATTTGCTTTGTGGTATGAAGGAATATACATGAACAAGTTTATTATTATTATTATTATTATTTTAATTAAAATATTTTTCCATTTTTGACTAAGATTTATCTGTACATGTAGTTACAGCAGTTTAGAACTTCCCTAAATGTGTTTCGTAGTCATTTTCTTTGAGTGCAGTGACAAATCTTTCTCTGAAACTGTGTAGATATACAGTTGAACTCTGCTATTTTGAATTCTCAGGGTAAACGTTTCCAATAGCAGGAGTTTGAAACAGCCAATAGTAAATCACTGAAGGGCAAATCCAAGGGAAATGGTGTTGAGTTTGAAATAACAGGAAATTCAAAATAACTGAGTTTGAATTAACAGTGTCTTATTGTGCATGTGCATGTACAAAACTGTATCTGGAGAAATCCGAATGTTATGTTGTGTTTTTGTAAACTCAACTCCTTGTGTGTCATTTTTACAGATTGATGTTTGGCATTTTCTTCCTGTTGAATCTTGTTTTGTGGGCTGAAGGCTCGTCGGCTGCTGTTCCATTTACCACATTACTTGCCTTGTTAACCATGTGGTGAGTTTGAAACTCAGTTGACTTGCATGTTGTTGCAATTTGTGAAACACATTTTGATTAAAGTGAAATAATTCTGTTGCTACTCTTCCTACAGGTTTGGTATTTCTGTTCCTCTTACCTTCCTGGGTGCCTACCTTGGATTTAAAAAGAAGGTACTGATTATTTTCTGTTTTCTTCTTAGAAGATCAATACAAAGTCTACTATTCATGTTACAAGAAGAAAGAAACTGATCATCAAAGTGAACTAGTCTCAGTTGATTTATGTTATCGCCGTCTTGTTTTATTTCCATTAGCCCATTGAGCAACCTGTGCGTACCAACCAGATCCCTCGGCAGATTCCAGATCAGGTACTGTACTGTGATGAGTTTACAACCTTAAAGGAGTTCAGTCACAGTTTGCGCATATTGAAAAGTTTAGCCTCAATTTTTCAAATTCGTTGTTTGTAATCCGTTTTAATCTTCTTCCTTAGCCATCCTTGTTCCTTTATGGTTTATCATTATCTCTTTGGTGTTTTTCTGTCTTCAGTATTAAACTGTTATTTTCAGGTTTCCTACCATTTAAAGGTAATTTTTTATGTGGCCAAAATAACTCAAAATACCGTGACTGAGCTCCTTTATCTGATCCTCGTAAACAATATCTATCCTATTAGTGCCTTCAAGAAAGACCATCAAAGTAAATACCGAAATTAGTGTACTTCGTAGATGCAAAAAAAGAAAAAAAAGAAAAAAGAAAACCTAATGAATTCTTTAAAGTGTTAAATTTGAAATGATATAAATTTCAAGTTAAATGTCTGTAGTCACTCCAGACTTAATTTTTTCTCAAGGTGAGCAAGCAACTTTGTCCTAATAATTATTACTCTCTTTGAATTAAGCGTTAACTGGGGTTAATATAATTATAATTATAACAACAACAACAACAACAACAACAACAACAATATTTACAGAGGATATCACCAAGCTAACTTTGTAGCTCTAGGTTGTTTCTTGTAATGTTGCCTTGGTAAGGCTAATGTTGAAACCTTTAGTGACACTTAACTTCTTGCTGATTTTACCAACTTTGTTAAGTTACTCCTCTTTAAGGACGATGCCTACTTTTGTTTGTGAGCACACGTTCTGCCCATCACGCAAGGCATGGTTTACCGCCACACGCGCACTGGGGTTGATATTGACCTATTCAACTACGCTACCCAGGTCACGACGAAAATGAAAGGAAAATTTTCCTGTTGTGACCAAATCAAGTTTAAGGAACCTGTACTAAAACCAGGAACACCATGCAGAATAGCAGTGTATCGCTAACCACTAACTGTTAACGGCTTCCAACTGAAAAACTAGCTGTTATCGGTCAAAAATCATGCTGAAATCAAACTGTAAACATGTACCTGCAGATGGCGTAGTGCGCGCACAAAACAAGTGCGAGAGACGCAAATGTTTTACTTACTGGGGAGGTGACAGAAAAAAATGTAACAGGCACCTGAAAAGTTTTCAAAAAAGGTGAATAACTTTAAAAGAAAAAAAACGCGTGGTTACCCCTACATGTTATGTTACGAAATGGAAGTGGCAAGCCTATTAACCCGTGATTAGTTTCTGGTTGTGAGCAAAAGCTATTTAGACTGTAGTTTAACTGAACCAGAGGAAGGCTGTCAGAGACACTAAAAGTGTTGTTGCAACGATTTTGTTATTAAAAACATACCAAAAATGGTTTTTATGTTACCATTTACTATGCAGTTTCAAGATCTTTTTAAATGTGTTTGCTTTCCGTATGTAAAGGCGAATTCTAAGGAAATCTGTGAAGAAATATCCTTTCCTTCTTTTTTCAGGAAAATGCTGATGTCAGCATTTTTGTTTTCATTCAAGGCTAATTATCTCTTGCATTCAAGGTTAATTATCTTGAAAAAATGCATGGCTACTGCCATTTTTCTTTATGGATTCCAATAGCCCTTGCAAAGATCTACTTTTTCCGCGTGGTCCTAACCTGGCGCAAAAACTTTTATCTTTAGAAGGCACCGTCCTTAAACCTTGTTTGTAAAATATTGTTATGTAATTATTAGTATTGTCCTTGCTTGTTTTAATGTTACATGCATTGCAATATTTTTTTCAACTATGAAAAAAAATTTTTTTTTTCTGATGTACAAGTTCTTGTTTTGTTCAGAGTATTTACACCAGAGCTGGCCCAGGCATAATCATGGGAGGTGTATTGCCTTTTGGCTGCATTTTTATCCAGTTATTCTTCATCTTGAACAGCATTTGGTATGTGCTTCAATTTAAGATATAATTTCAGTTCTCTTGGGTTTACTGTTTACATGGTGGTCTACTAAACTGGGTCTGACCCAGTAAATAATTAAGTACTAATTAAGTAAATAATAATTTTAGACAATAAATATCGTATTGACTGGTCATTCCCCCCTGTGGGGCTTTTAAGAGCCAGTTGAAACAAATCATGAGACAAATAATAGAAATAGCTGTAGTATGGTTGAAAAAAAGACCCAATTGACAGGAGGCTGACCAGTTGGCTATTTACAAACGTTGCCAATGAGTTGGACTCGAGAACACCAAGAATGACACCAGCTAGTGGTCAGAAAAGGACATGAACCCACTGGGTTCAAGTTCACAGTCTGAGTCCACCATAATACGTTCACAGTCTGTGTTCACTGTTAATAAAGTTCATAGTCTCGGTCTACCAGTGTGGGTCCACTGTTAACACGGACCGACGCTTGTCATACATACAGTAGACTGTTGGCTTTGTCCAGAGAGATCAAAATTCATAAGCACATAATTTACAAACTCGTTTGTAATTTCTTTAACTTAAAGATCTGTCATTAACTTCTTTTATTTATTTATTTATTTATTTATTTATTTATTCATTTATTCATTTATTTATTCATTTATTTACATACTCAAATTCAATTACACAGATGATCAAAACAAAAACAAAGGATTTAATATATTTACAAGTGTGAAAAGGAGATATCTGACTAATTAGGCCCACTGGGTTCAAGTCCACAGTCTGATTCCACCATAATACATTCACAGTCTGGATGCGCAGTCACATTACTGAACTTTTAAAGTGTTTTAAATATCTCTTCCCAAGTCTCTCTGAGTTAAAACTTATCAAAATTTCTTTTTGACCAGGTCGCATCAGATTTATTACATGTTTGGTTTCTTGTTTGTCGTGTGCTTAATTCTGCTGCTGACCGTATCTGAGACGACCATTCTGTTGTGCTATTTCCATCTTTGTGCTGAGGTAAGGATTCCAGACTATGCCCCACTCCTCCCGTATAAATTTTTTGCGTCTCATTGTGTAAACGTGCATGTAATAATGGACATAATATTAATTCAATATTAATAGACCATATCAGTGTGAACTATTCATGAAGGAAAATCGAAGGATGTACATCGTTTTATGTCTGATGACTTGCTGTAAACCTCGGGAACTGGGACTAACCTAAATCTGAATCTGAATTCCATTTACATGGAAGATGTACAACCGTAATGCAAACGAATTACGTCACATTTCTCTCTTTAAATCATGAAATGATACAGGAATTGTCTTGAAATTTCAATGAGGGTTCGGGGAAAATCTATAAACCAAAAAATATGTGCAAAATTTCACTAATGGAAGCAATGTTGCGAACTGGTGCAAGTTCGTGAAAGCAAAATTCCGCTTTCATTCAGCAGTAGCAAAACGAAAAATCGAAGAATCAAAAATTGAAACAACAAATTTCAAGGTTAACACATCTTGACGTGCGTCATGTGGAGAAAAATTGTCCAGGTGCGCACATCTTCTCGCGCACATCTTCTTGCGCCGAAAGAGCTCAATGCCCCTTAATTTGAGTGATTTATTTATTTGCAGGATTATCACTGGTGGTGGCGTTCATTCCTGACTGGCGGCTGTACTGCCGTGTATTTCTTCTTGTACTCTATTCATTTCTTTGTCACTAAGTTGACAATCACTGGAACAGCCTCCACCTTTTTGTACTTTGGCTACACTCTTATCATGGTGCTGATTTTTTTCCTCTTTACTGGTAAGATCTCGTGTATAAATTTTGTTTTTTGTGTGAAAATTGTTACCTTTATATTTTTTGTGAGAGGTGCTGTGGCCTCATGTTAGGAGCGCTCTTCTCTAGATCGAGCGGTCCGTGTTCGAACCCTGGCCGCGGACATTGTGTTTACCGTCACAGTTCCTGGGTGCRGGCAAACMTAATGCTGGGGGTAACCCTGTGATGGATTAGCATCCCATCCAGGGGGAGTAGAAATATTCCTAGTCGCTTCATGCTACAGAAACCGGGATAAGCTCCGGCCTGGTGGGCCATTTGGCTTGTATGCAGACTTAATCGATACCAGTACTTCCGGAGTATTGGTCTCATGAATGGCAAACAATTTGAAAGTGATTCCAAAATTAATAGTGTGAAGTTATTGCACATATGACTGACTCTGCGAGCGAAGCGAGTGGGACGCGGGGGAGCCTGTAGACATTGTTTTTGATACGCCGTTCCGCCCCTTGGTGATTAGCCTGCTACAAATCAGTCAAGGAGGTAATTAAACCTGTCAAACGACCAGTTTTTTCTACGTATGATGAGTATGAAGTCGATTCGTCAACGTCCTGGATCAGTGCGCCGCGCCAACGCTTATATGTCAGTTCGCCAACGTCCAAAATACTTTTTGAAGAGGGGCTGAATGTATTTCCAAATTACCATAGGAATAACATGTCACCTTTGCTTTAAGATGAAATGTGTGTTCATAAATGAAACCAAGCGGCATTAAACACCAGTGCAAATTATTATCTACAAAATATCAGAATAAATTTGGGTTTCTAACCAAGCTGAAACAGAGTGCGCCTCATGGACAACCAAATAAACAGTTTGCTTTCCAAGCAGACCTTCTTTCAGCTGTTTTGACCACTGTTTCGAAGACAACGTTTCCGGACTTCCAGAGAGGAGATCCACATCGTATCCACCGGCGACCAGTTCTTTCTCTCCTTTTTCGTCTCCTAAGCCGATGGCAAACGCTCTCAGGCCTAGACGTGTCAACTCTTCAACCTGGTCTTTCATTATAGAAACAAAAGGCGTCACAACGAAGACACAAGCACGTTCTAGTTTCCACAAGTCTTTCAGTAGACGCGGCAGCAATTGAAAAATAAGACTCTTCCCGAAACCAGTCGGTAGAATTCCGAAGACATCGCGCTTCTGTGCCACAGTTTCCAGGCATAGCTTCTGCTCATGTTTCAAACCAGAGATATGAAGAAAATGTGGCAAAGAATTGCTCAATAGACAAAGCTGCCTCGAATTCGACGTCAGTGAACTGGTCTCGGCAAGAATTATGCAAATTTACAAGCAGTTGTCAAGATCTGTCAACTATTAATCTCAAAGTTGTCAACAGTCATCGATTCAACCAATCAGATCTTGATACCAGGAGCTGGTATCATGGAACGGCGGCATCAATGGAATGTCTACAGGCCTCCTGTGCACTCCCTCATCACCAGACCGCTCTCGGCTCGTCCCGCTCGCCCTAAACTACACTCGGCTAGCTCGCCCTGAACCCAACCGGGAGCCTGTTCGCAGACTACCCAGCTTCCGACTATGTTGTCTGAACTGTGCTCAACAATTTGATTTGATTACCGCATGCTCGGCCGTAGTGGGAACTGAGCTGGAAGGAGCCGCCGAACATTTGATTGACGCTTGCGAAAAACGCATTTGTCGGTTGAGCTTTGAATTTTAGAGACCGCATGTCATTGAAAGGCGCAGTAAGATAGCGGCAACAGCTACACGTGTGAAGAAGCTAATCAGTAGGCCTTTTGTTACAGCTGGTCACGTGACCAATAATTTCCAAACTTTTGACGACAGCTAAGTGAATTGCAGAAATGGAAAGAGCATGTTTTAAATAGCCAAAACACCAATTTTCAGACCACTGCCATGCAAGGTTGACATTTAACGACGATTTGAATATTGCAAACATTAGAAAACTAGAAGAACTAGCCAAATATATCTTTTGGCCTCTAGGGAAGCATATGGGCTTTCAACAGATATTAAAATACTTGAAAAAAAGTTTTCTCATCTAAAACTATTGAATTTATTAAACTCAACTCAATTGTTTTTTGTTTTAGGTACTGTGGGCTTCTTTGCTTGCTTCTTCTTTGTGAGAAAAATTTACAGCATCGTCAAAGTCGACTAACCAGTCCAGTGGAGATTAACCATATTTAATATTCTGAGAATAGGAGATCGGGAAAAAATATGTGCAAAAACTAGCTCTGGCTATCTAGCAGTGTTGACCATAGCTAAGCTTTGTAACTTATTAAGGTGTACAAGTAAGGGCGAGGGGTGGAGAAGGAGAATTAGGAAGGATGGGGTGGGGGGGGGGGATGGACAGTGGGTTGGTGGGGGTGAAGGGTGTAGTCTGGAAGGAGGGAATAATAGGGAAAGGAAACACCCCCCAGTGATCATATCCTAACATCTCTCAACCTTTTTCATAGTAAATGTAGAAGGCAGGTTGTGGAAATTAAGGAGTTGGTCACTTCGGGAAAAAAAAAACTGCCATGACTCCGCCGAAGAAAAATTTGCAATGTTTCTTTCAAAGGCGTTAGACAACAGGCAAAGATCTTTATTGTGTGTTTTTAGGCGAACGAAAACTTGTAATCGTCTTCTGAATTAAGATTTTGGATGTTTGTGATTAATTGTATTAGTGGACTTAAGAGATGAATACAACTATTTGTTGCTGATTCTATAACACTTCAGTTATCACCCCTTATCACCTGTGATACGTTCACAAAATTGTAGTAATGGTCACCTGATATATTTATGCGTAGTTGTTGTACCATTAAGCGTTCATTCACATGCACTGTAGCGAAGCAGTGTTGGTAGACTGTTGATGTAAATCTTAAGAATAGATTGTTGGTGGGTAAATAGGTTCTTTTGTGTTGTTGAGGTCAGATGGAAATGTGAGGGAAAGCTAAGATAAAAACTGTTCAAAAGATGGCTATTACACCCAAACTGTATTCATTTTGTAACTTAAGCAGTTCTCTAGCGTTATTGATATCTGTTGCGGGAGCTTTACCAGCCAAGGGTTCTGTACCCGAGACAAACACTGCAAACAAAGATTCTCTCATATTACACACCCTAACACAGTTTTAGGCTTTTTCTAGTAATTATTTTAAGCGAAGTAGATAAACTGCGAGAAATCAGTGGAATTCTGTGGCCAAGGAGAATCCGAATTAAGGCTGCAGGTTGTATATGTTCGTTACTTTTGTTAATTTTTTTTTTGTGACATGCTCTCGTGAACAAATTGACCTCAGTTTTTCATGTGTCTATCCTGTTATTGATCATGATTTTGTCATGACATTGTCAAAGAAGCTCCGGATCCGCAGACTACTTTGACAATGTTATGACGAAATTCATTGTCAATAAGAGGACAGATGCATTAAAAACTGACGTCAATTTGTTTTTTACGATAACAAATTGTCAACTTGTCCGCTGATTGGCAATGAAAATTAGGCATTGAGCGCGTGCGAATTTCTGCAGTTATCGTAAAATTGGTTATTGCGTTTTAGATGTCTGTTTACTAGTAGCAAGGGATAAAGTTGGTTTACAGTCTGCTGTGGTTCACGCTTTTAATCAGAGTGCTTTAAAATTTGCCTCTCTGGCATGGGGTATTTATAAGGTTGCAACTTGAGTCAGAGGCTTACAGTGTAGGAGATTAAAACCAATTAAATAATCTAAGGCTGAGCAATGCTTTAGTGATAACTTTGGTTGTAGCAGACGAGGTTAAAAAGGTGCACTTTTAGACTGAGTATTAAAATTAAAAAAAACGCGATTTGCTCAAGAAAGCCAAGATTTTTGTCAGCGTTTTAGTCCTTGTAGAAATTTGACCAGTGGGAATTTTGTCTGTAACAAAAGAGGGTGTTTCGATAAGGGACTGGTCAAAAAGTACGGGGCGCGGGGTGGTGGGTCGGAGCATTTGAAAATGTGGTGGTGAGAAAACACATGACCCACCCCTTCCATTTGGCACAAAACTGAGTGATCCACCCCCTAAATGAAGGTTGAAAATTACATGACCCACCCCCAATGAAACATGACATTTTTGGTTGCATAAGCCAACAAGGCACATTTTGTGTGCGAAATAGACCTTTGACGCATTCCACTTCACTGCATACGAACAACAGTATCAGAGCGAGGGTAGGGGTGGACATTTTCATACATTTCCTGTATTTTTGTCCCACCCTGACCGATTCGGCGCCATTGTTGGAATGCGGAAAAGGTCTATTGTGGTGTTATTTATGTTTTAGATGTATTTCTTCACAATAATGCAAAATCATCTAAAAAATAATATAGTTTTTCTTTACTCTTGCAACTTTAAGAGATGTCCGTAAACTCTAAAAAATACTTGACCATATACCTTTTATACTTGGCCTCCAGCCTTGCTGCGCGTGGAACAGTGATTCATCTAGAAAAAGGCTGTAGTGAGTTCTGGACTCACACAGCCAACAAACTACTAGTCCCAGACCCAAGAGTGTGAGTCCCAGATCCATGGACATGTGTACAGTACCTATGGGGACAAATAGCATGTAGACTTCAGTTGGCCATTTGGTGTTCTTGAGGACCAGCCTGTCGAAAGTGAAATTTTTGCCCCGGGACTCCTTGCCCATTCCGTTTGACTTCTTAGCTTTCGTACCGATTTTACAATACATAAAATTGCCATCTCTATTGTACACCAACCAAGTGTACTTTTTCAGCTACGGCTCGAGAAGTTTTCGTCCTTTGGAACTGGAAGGAGTTACCTTTGTTGTCGATTGTGTACTCCCTTACATATGAGCTATATAGAGGGGGGTGAACAGGGTTTCGGATCGACGGATTTGGCTTTAAAAAGCGCACGGATTGTGGATTTTTGGGGTAGATCAAGCGGATTCGCGGATTTCGAAAACACAGTGGATCGTGGATCAGCTGTGAATTTTGACGGGGATTCCGGATTGTGCCCGTCTTGATGTTCGAATCTTGGTTCCTAAACGAAATTTGGATCATAGATCTTTCTTCAGCCTTGGTCGGTATGCTAATGAGTTCACTTATGTTTCTGGATGTGGTTGTAGTTTCGGATTTGAACGAAAATATTGGCGGAACGACAGATTTGGCGAGAAAAAGGCACGGATCCGAGGATTTGCATACCCCTATTCACCCCCTCTATATAGGTATGTGTGGGTATGGTTTTCAGGCAGTTTAGTCTGGGACAGTTTTGGTTTAGAATAATTTTAAAGTTTCTGCATTGGAAATAGCTAGTCTGGGATAGTATAGGGCATTTTGGTGCCTGGTCTAGAATAGGGTTGCAAAATCAAGCTGATCATGGTCTAGTATAGGGTAAGGGTTTCAGTGTCCCAACAACACACCCCCACCCAAAGATTTACAGAGTACCCCCCGGAGCCTCCGTGCCGGGGAAGGAAGATCAAGGGAGGGTAGTAGACATTTTTTATGGCAATACACATTAGCTTTCTTGACAGAGAAAACCAACCTGCGCTTATACAGCTCAAGCTGAGTTAACACATCTCCCATTGTTTTGCTACTGGGGCTGTTCAGAGTATGATTTCCGTTTCAAACGCCGTTCTTTCCATCAGCTGAACTTATATTAAATAATGGGCCATGAACTGGCTAGAATGTGGTTTGAAACGTGCCTCATTTACCCACTACTCCAGACCGATAGAATCAAACTTGCACACACTCTCTTGTAGTTTAGTTTCTCGCTTTTTCTTTCAAACGTCCTTGTAGCGCCCCTGTGGTGAAGTGCACAAGAACGTCAGCTGTCCTCAAATGTTTGACACACTTAGTCGCGGCAAAAAATTCTTTTATTTTTTGCTTTGTTTTCTAAACACACAAAAAGGTAATGTTAAAAGATTGTTCTAACAGCTGTTTTTCCTGTAGCGGTCATCGCGACTTCTGCTTACTCCTACTAGGGATCGTAGGTGCTGTTGGAACAAAAAAGAAAGCAACAAATTAAATCAATCTTCAGCTTGAGTGCGTCTTCTATGTAACGTTTGTGAAATAAGCCGGGATACTGATTTTGCCTCTGCCTTTGCGACTTAAAATCAAGGAGGAAACGTTCTTTAAACAAACAAGTTAACCATGCTAATTTACCATTTTCTTGTTGACTTTCATTGTTAGCTTTTCGTTCTTCAGTCTTCTTTTTGTTTTAAGCACTCTTTTATTCAGTTTTTTCATTTTTCATTTTCATTGTTAGCCTTTCGTTCTTCAGTCTTTTTTTTGTTTTAAGCACTCTTGTATTCAGTTTTTTACCCATTCTTTTTAAAAGCTGTAATCGAGCGATTAATATTCTCAGTACTTTTGTTATATTTACATCACACCGATTAGCGGTTTTCTGCAATGCAAGTTATCCGAACTGACTATTTGCATTTACTTGAAAATCAGTACTAATTTCAAAAATTTAACTTCTGGCTGCTGCAATTCTGTATCATCAGTTGTTGTTTCGAAACATACCAGCCATTACCCCAGGCCACGTGACACATGCAACACTTGTCTCCTCCAGAGCATTTGCGGTCGAATATTGAGACGGGTCTCTCATTATTTCTGCATGAAGATCGACATCTGCGGGAGTAACAGCCTTCCAGTTCGCAACCACTTCCACAGTCCCCTTGGGGTAAGAAAAGAAACAATCAAATAACTGTAAAACGCGCTTAAATCGAGTTAATGACTGGTTAGTATAGATCTTGTAAGAATATTTTTTATCAGTAACTAAAACGGTGTCCGTGTAAATCGGATCCATTACATTTTACAGGGACATAAAAATCATCATATGACTTTCTGATTTTTATTACTCGTAGATTACTGGTAAATCAGGTTACAGTGTGTTAACTGATTGGTTTACAAATATCAACGTAGCCTGTTCCAGGCTCTCGGTAGTAGAGGACGAGCGAAAAAACTGGGCTAGAGAAAAAATGAGGGAGGACTAAGGCGAGGCTCGGCTTAGTCCTCCCTCGTTTTTTCTCTCGCTCGTTTTCGCTCGTCCCCAACTACCGAGGGCCTGGAACAGGCTAATATCCACGAGAATTGACAAACTGACCTTTTTCAAAACACCATATGACACCTCTGATGCTGTCATCAAAACAGCATCCTTTGCTTTCGCATTCTTGTGCGGTTATCCCTCCATAACCACAGTTTTTACGCTTTTCAGGCGCCACGGCGCAGCTATCTGCAAAACAGAGCGATAGAGGTTGGGCAAAATTAATGATAGAGGATCTAATGAGGACACTGAAAAACCCTAAAATTTATATTGACCTTGAATTGTAATGGCCGGACTTTCACTTTATTGTCAGGTAACTACATGTATGGCGATTCTATTTAGCAGTAGTAGTATCAGAAAGGAAGCAAAGATTGTAAAGATGTCTCTAACCTCCTCTTCTGTACACGAATTTCTCCATGTCGTCGCTGGAGTGATACAGCCTCTCGTCATATTCAGGCTCGTGTGGTTTGGCCAGAACCAACGTCACTTGGACAACGACAAACATCAAGATAATCTTATCAATGCACGCCATGTTGACTGAAATGGAAAACAGTTTTTTTTTTTTAGGAAGCCAAAAGGAAGTTAAATTTTAGTAATACAAGAGAACTACGTCTTTGAATTAGTACATCAAAATAGCTTTGTGACAGTTTGTTATTAAAGAATTGGTTTATGCTGAGCGTGCGTATAACGGTCTATAACGAATTATGAATGCAGGCGGCAAAGTTTGGCGGTCGAGTATAAGAAGTGAAAGAGCTGCTCGAGGCGCAGCCGAGAGCAACTCTAGCTTCTTGGGTGCTCTCCAAGCTTCCAAGTGCAAAATAACTCGCCAATGCAGAGCTAAAAGCATGAATCAGTTGTTTTACATTTCTGGATTATGATGCATATCTTAGGGTGCCAAGGAAACGTTCACCTAAAGGTCTGTCCAAAACGGGAAATATTTGGCGACCAAACACCATCAAACATTGTTTGGTGACACAGTAAAGTCGCCTGTTTCTGTTGTTGTCGCAGAAATTGTGATGCAACACGTGGAGGAACGCGCCCTTGCAACTTGCCGACAAACGATACCGCTTTGGTTACGCT